TCTCTCCCTCCGCACCCTTTCTCTGTCTCTCTCCCTCCCTCCCCCTCTTTCTCTTCCCCTCCCTCTATGGCTCTATCCTCTCCCCTTTCTTCATTTTCATCCTTAGCACTTACCATGAGACATTCTCTATGCTTTCTAACTTGGTTTAGTTGTGCGCTCTCCATCGAGCATGAGTGCGGGATTTTCGTGCATTTTGTTCCCAGCCATGTCCCCAGGGCCTTGACCAGTGCTTGGCTCCTAACAGGCACTTGATGAATGTTCATTGACTAAATGAGTCAGAGGCAGCCTCTCACAGCCAAGGCCAGCGTGTTCCAGTGGGTTGGCATTGAGATCCCTGGAACTCATAGCCCCTTGCAGTCACAGGAGGAGGAGTTATTTGCAAAGAGCACTAAATCTGAAGATGCCCCTTGAGGGAAGTAGAGCCCGGGCATCTTCTTGGAAGTTAAAACATGTTTTTCTCCCTGAGGTCCTTGAGATTCTCATCCCTACCCCAACACTCTTCTTCCAGAAGGTAGAAACTCCAGTTTCCACTACTGCCCCATAAGGAAGTGCAGCAGCCTGAACCTTGTAGGTGTCCAGACTCCCTGCCTGGGGCCCAGGGCACATGAGCTTCACACATGGTTCCCACTTGTCAGAGAAGTTGGAACACCTGTTACTGAGATGATGCTAGACAGCCCGTATCCAAACACTTGGCATTGCTGTATGCTTTTTTTTTTTTTTTGGCTGTTTATTTATTTCTTTTGTGAGTTGGGTTCTTGCTCTGTCACCTGGGCTGGAGTGGAGTAGCATGAACACAGCTCACTGAAGCCTCCACCTCCTGGGTTCAGGTGAGCCACCCACCTCAGCCTCCCAAGTAGCTGGAACCACAAGCGTGCACCGCCACGCCCGGCTAATTTTTGTTTTATTTTTTTGTAGAGACAAGAAAATAACCTGGGTTGTGTTGCCCAGGTTGGTCTAGAACTCCTGGACACAAGCAATCCTCCCACCTCAGCCTCTCAAGTAGATAGTACTGTAGGTGTGCACCACCATGCCTGGGATTTTGTTGTTGTTGTTGTTGTTGAAATAGCGTTTTGCTATGTTATCCAGGCTGGTCTCCAACCCCTGGCCTCAAATGATCCTCCCACCTCAGCATCCCAAAGCACTGGATGATAGGTATAAGTCACTGCGCCCAACCACCACTAACACTTAGATGTCTACATTTTCAAAGAATTTCTCCTACATTTATATTCTCTTACTTTTTACCCCCCCTCAAAAAATGTATACTGTCAGGGGAGAATAGTACTCCACCCTTCCGTTGAACGATATATATATTTGTCTATGCCAATAAGTAGAAATTCATATCAACAAGCTTGATGGCTTTGTAGGTTTCTACTCCATGAATAGATCATCAGTTATTTAATGAATCTTCGATCAATGAACATTTAGCTTATTCTAAGCTGTCACTGTGGTAAATAGCCTTTTTGTAGCCCTGTCTGGGAGGCAGTCTGTTTAGCAGGTAAGAAAGCGCAGCCGAGCCCCTCTGACCTAGAATGCCTGTGTCCCCATGCCTGGTCACAGCACCGAAGCTCTCCCAGGGACCATATGATCCATGCTACACAATGCCTGGCATCCTGGGCAAGTGGCAGTGGTGGAGCCAAAGGATGGACCCCTAAGCTGCCAGGCTTCCCACTCCAGGGCCCCCTCCCAGCTCCCCCAGCGCCTTCACGCAGCTGTCTGTCCAGCGTAAGATGCTTCCCTCTCAGCTTTCAAACACCTCCAGAGTTTGACTGTTTCTGGTTCTCCCAGAAGCAAAATTTCTCAGATCACTGAAGTCCTGAGCCAGGGCCGCAACCCTTTTATTCCCCAAGAATTTCCTGAGCACCGTTCCTCTTTGACATCGTTGTCCTAAGCCCTAGGCGACAAAGTCAGATAGGCCACAGCAGCCTCTCCACGGCTCTGAGACCTGCCCCACAGAAGGCTCCTCTGAGGACCTCCTGGCCCCACATGCTGTACAAGCCCCAAAACCTGCCAACTGTGTCCCTCTCCTCAAGTCCAGAGGGAGCCACCCCCAGGGGTTGAGCTATTTTTCCTTCTTTTTCACTCTCATGGTTCCGCCATCTTCTTCCCCTCCCTCCCTCAGGAATAGGTCTCACCTGGCAGAGTGCAAGGCCTCTACAGGCAGGCCCTGGAGAGAGCCTGCTGTCCTTCCCAGGGTGTGAGGAGGTCCCAGGCCCTCAGAGAACAGGGGTCTTCCAGGGTGGGAATGATTCTCCCATCTGGAGCAACAAGGCTTCTTGCTAAAGGTGGGGGAGGAGAACTCTCCACCATGAGAAGAGAAGGAAGTTGTCACATCTACACAAAGAGGAAGTGTGCAGTGTCAGAGCATGTGCACACAGTAGAGCATGATCTGGTGTCCCCAGACTTGGGTGCCGAGGACATCTGAGGTCAAGTGAGTCACTGAGAAAACCGTCTAAGCAGGCCGCTCGGGGAACAGAGCTGTGGTTGGTCTGGGGCTACAGGGCCAAAGAACAGGTTGCAGGCAGCCAGGCTTTCCAGGCTGAGCCAACGTGCAGAGGTAGGTAGCATTTGGCCCAGGGGTCCATGAGGTAACAGACGGGACAAGGTTGGACCCCTGTGGAGGGCTGAGAGCATGGATGGTCTCAAGTGGAGGATTTTTATTTGATGGAGCAACCACTGGGGAAAGAGTGTGTTGTGTTCAGCAGAGAGGTGACAGGGTGACGCTGATACTTTAGGAAGATTGATTTGCTGGCTTTGTGGAACACATAAATTAAAAAGCAAAAGATGAGCACAAGTGGCAATTCGCTCCAACTCAAGAAACCTTAATTAAGTGCATACTGCCCGAAAGCAGCTGAAATGTCTTCACAGCGTGGAAGTCAGTTTTACCCGTGGATTGTGGAAAGCATCGTTGCTGTTTCTCAGGGCATGTTGGGGTTTTGACTGTGACAAGGGGCCTCAGTGGGACGTGCCACCCAGACACACCACCTCCCGAGCTCTTTTTCTCTGTCGCCGTGGGTCTCAGGCGAGCCTCCAGTCCCAGGGGCTGTGCTCTCAACTAGTGTTTTTGTTTTTTGTTTTCCTGCAGCTATGACCATGAGGGCCGCCTGACCAACGTGACACGTCCCACGGGGGTGGTGACCAGTCTACACCGAGAAATGGAGAAATCCATCACCATTGACATTGAGAACTCCAACCGCGATGACGATGTCACTGTCATCACCAATCTGTCTTCAGTGGAGGCCTCCTACACAGTAGTACAAGGTGAGTGCCCCACCCAGCACCATCCTACCCCCAGACTCAGAACCTAGCCAAGCTCAAAGGTGTTACCCACCCTGGGAGACCTAGAGTGCCTTTCAGCTTTCTGTTTCATTCAAATGCCCACAGCAGGGACTGGGCACAGTGGCTCATGCCTGTAATCCCAGCACTTTGGGAGGAAAAGGTGGGAGGATTGCTTGAGCCCAGGAGTTCGAGACCAGCCTGAACAACATAGCAAAACCTCGTCTCTACAAAAAAATCAGAAAATTAGCCGAGCATGGTGGTGAGCCCCTGTAGTCCCAGCTAGCTTGGAAGGCTCAGGTGGAAGGATCTCCTGAACCCAGGAGGTCAAGGCTGCAGTGAGCTGTGACTGTGGCACTCTACTCCAGCCCAGGGAACAGAGACCCCGACTCTGAAAACAAAACAAATGTCTACAGCAAACTAACTCTACAAGAGCTCAATCTTGTAGAAAATGACTTAATCAGATACAGCAGAATGTCGTCTACACCTAAGCAGATGTCTAGATATCTGGAAAGGCCTACATCGTTATCTGAAAATGTTCATTTCATCCTCACATACTCTCTCCCACCTCCTGCCCCTCCCTCCCCACCTCCCCCCCACACACACACACCAGCCCAACACACATGGTCCTCTTCTCTAAGGCTGTTTATTCTCTTGGGCCCACCACCATGACCTTGCAGACTGTCTCTCATAAGCCTCCGTCTGTTAAATCGGTTGTCAGGTTCAGAGCCTTTCAGCGATCTCTTGCCAAGACTGGACTCTCCAAGGGTCTGACCGCCCCGGGCTTCTGTTGCTATTAGATGTGTTACGCAGTCCAGGACAAGAAAATGAACGGTGCAGATTAATTTTTCTTTTAATTAAGATATAATGTTGGTGGGCTAGCCCGTTGTCAGAGGATAAAAGTGTCCTCTCAGTAGATAAATGGTGACATTTCGGGACTATTATCCCACGACAGAGCCTGTTTCAATGACTTTATTTCTGCTCTGCCAGATGATTAATGATGTAGATTCTGTCCTTCTGCGTGATAGGTGGAGCAGCAGAAAAGGCAGGTACACACTCTCTCTCCCTGCCCAGGAGCTGACGTCTCAAAAGCCAGCCCAGGCTGGCTCCTTTACCCAGACGGTCAGGAAGCAGAAATCTACAAAAGGAGTCTCTGACTCTTTCCTTCCTGTAGCTTTTCGATAAAAGGAAAAGGTCGGAACTCTGACTGACTTGTGGAGATTCCATTTGGGAAGATAAACCCATTCTCAACATTCACTGCCTTGGTCTACCTCATACTGTTAGAGTCTCTCCAAAGTTCTTTTGTTTTTTGAGTTGGGGTCTCACTCTATCACCCAGGCTGGAGTGCAGTAGCATGAGCATGGCTCACCACAGCCTCAGTCTCCTGGACTCAGGTGATCTTCCTGCCTCAGCCTCCTGAGTAGCTGGGCCTATAGGCGCTTGCCATCACACCCGGCTAATTTTTTGAAATTTTGTTAAGACAGGGTCTCGCTATGTTGCCCTCAAACTCCTAGGCTCAAGTAGTCCTCCCACCTTGGCCTCCCAAAGTGCTGGGATTACAGGTCTGTGTCACCGTACCCGGCCTGGAATTCTCTGGAGTGGAGGTGGCATTGGGTGCCATCAGCAGCAAAAGCATGAGAGAAGTGGAGGTTGCTTTTTGTCTCAATTTTCTTGAAGAATTCTGGACTTGATTTACAGTGGATCTGACCTGTGACTAGACTATCATCTTTGGATTCGATGGCAGGCAAAATAGGGGGAAAAAATTGAAGTAGGCCAGGCTCGGTCGCTCAGCCTGTAATCCTGTGCTTTGGGAGGCCGAGGTGAGTGAATGGTCTGCTCCCGCAGGTTTGAGACCCACCTAGGCAACTTGGTGAGACCTTATTTCTACAATAAATCAAAAAAATTAGCCGGGCGCGCACCTGTAGATCCAGCTACTTGGAAGGCTGAGGCGGAAGGATCCCCGGAGCCCAGCAGATCAAGATTGCGGTGGTGGGGAGCGTGCCACTGCACTCCAGTCTAGGCGACAGAGTGAGACTCCGACTCAAAAAAAAAAAAAACTGAAGTAGTTTTCCTTTCATTTACTCTTTTTTCATATAAGGTAAAATGTATATATGTTAAAGTTCAGGAATTTGATTGACACAAATTGTGTAGGCAATAGACATCCTTAAATGTTTAAATGCACTATTAATAGTCTTCAGTGAATAAAAGAAAAATATCACGGCATAATTATTTCTGGAGTACCACATATTATGTTTTTCTGTACATGGATCGGTAGCATCTCTGCTTCTTACCTGCACATTGTGTGTGTGCTAATTGAAGGCAGCCTTAGACGGATGGCTGAAAAGTACCATGGAAACCTACAAAAATAGGGCTTCTATTCTCTTCTGACTAATTGTGTGGATAATTTCTTTCCCTCTCCCCACCCCACTTACATTTTTCCAGATCAAGTGCGGAACAGCTATCAGCTCTGTAATAACGGTACACTGAGGGTGATGTATGCTAATGGGATGGGTGTCAGCTTCCACAGCGAGCCCCATGTCCTAGCGGGCACCATCACTCCCACCATTGGGCGCTGCAACATCTCCCTGCCCATGGAGAATGGCTTAAACTCCATTGAGTGGCGCCTCAGAAAGGAACAGATTAAAGGCAAAGTCACCATCTTTGGCAGGAAGCTCCGGGTAAGTGGGTCCGCCCCATTTATTACCACTAAGTGGGAGGGGAGACACCCCTTCCTTACAGAGCTGAGAAAGTTTCCCAGCTTCCATGACTCCTTCCTTCCCTGGAGGAGACAAGTTCCCTCAGGAGGAAGTCGTTCGGACTTGTCCTTGGGAAAAATGTTCTCCATCTTCTAGAACTGAAAAAGGCAGCCATTTTCTGCTATGTGGATTTACTATGCCGTGAGCTAGAGATAGCTCATTTCAATAAATGAAGTCTCCTTTTCACACTTGTCATCTTCTCCTTTAATTTTCACCATTTCAACAAATGAATTGGTGCTAGTGCCTACTATAGACTGGATAATTTGCTGAATACTAAAAGAACAAGCATTTTAAAGTATGTTCTGCCAGGCGCGGTGGCTCAAGGTAATCCCAGCACTTTGGGAAGTCAAGGTGAGTGGATTGCCTGAGCCCAGAGGTTCAAGAACAGCCTGGGCAATTTGGCAAGACTTCGTCTCTACAATAAATAAAAAAATTAGTCAGGCATGGTAGTGGCGCTTGTAGTTCCAGCTACTTGAAAGGCTGAGGTGGAAGGATCACCTGAGCCCAGCAGGTCGAGGCTGCAGTGGCCATGAACGTGCCACTGCACTCCAACCTGGGTGACAGAGTGAGTCTCCAACTCAAAATAAATAAATAAATCAAGTATGTTCTTTGTACTCAAGGAGTTAACAGTCTGATAGAATATGCAGACACAGGATAATCATAGGTTAAGTGAAAAGAAAGAGGTGCACCCAGGTCTGATGAGATTCCAGAGGGGGAGATGTCACCCAGCCTGAGGGGCTTAGGGAAAATTTCCCAAGAGGAAGTCATAACCTAACCTCAGTGGGGAGTTTTAGCCAACCCTAACTTCCCCAGGCTAGGCAATTCCCTCCATGTGACATCTTTTAAAAACCAATATATGAGCCGGGCTCGGTGGCTCAGCCTGTAATCCCGCGCCTTTGGGAGGCTGAGGTGAGTGAATTGCTTAAACCCGCGGGTTCGAGACCCGCCTGGGCAGCGAGACCTCATCTCTACAATAAATCAAAAAAAAAATCAGCCGGGTGTGGTGGCACATGCCTGTAATTCCGGCTACTCGGAAGGCTGAGGCGGAAGGATCGCTGGAACCCAGCAGGCCGAGGCTGCGGTGGCCGGGAGCGGCCACTGCACTCCAGTCTGGGTGACAGAGTGAGACTCCAACTCAAAAAAAAACCAATATATAACATTTATTGAGAGCTTTTATGATGCAAGCACTATGTTAAATGCTTGACTTATATTATCATATTTTAATCTTTTCCACAGCTCCATGGGGGTAGTTATTATCACCTCCATTTTTTAGATTAGAAAACATAGGCTCAGGGCAGCTAAAACAACCAAGTCTCAGCCCCCAAATCTTTTTATCTGGCTCACTTGCCAGTGTTCTAACCACCATGCCACACAGTCTCCTGTTTTAAACCCATGATCATCCAGGTAAGCTCAGTACTAGTGAATTCTGCTCTTGTCACTTTTCGGTCACTGAGAGAAACTGGTGCCTAGTATCATGCCAACTTTTCCCCAGGGAGTGAGGAGGAATTCTGGGGATCTCAGTCTTCATCAAAGTCAACACACATTTCTTGCACACCTGCTATGAGCCAGGCACTGTGCTATGCAGTTAAGGCACACAAAGCAAAATCCCTATTCTCCTGCAGCTTATATTCAAGGGCAGTGGGAGATGGGAGAGTGGGGCAGAGAATAAGTAAACTAATACAATAAGTCCCCTACATACAAACCTTCAAGTTGCAAACTCTCAAAGATGTGAACATGTATTTGCATGTCCAATCACATAAGTTTGTTCACGTGTCTGGCATACATTGTCACATGCAATGCCTCCTCTACAAGTGGTTGTGCTTTTGTGTACTTTACCGTACAATGCTATATAGAGTACAGTAGTTCAGTATCTTTATTTCAAGCCCAACATGTCCAGAAGCAAGCATAAGAGCAGTGGGGTTGTAACTGGTACTGTACCACTGATTGTGATAGTTGGGTACTAGGCTAACTTTGTTTTTGGTTTTGGGGGGCGTTTTTTGTTTTATTTTTTTGAGTTGGAGTCTCACTCTGTCGCCCAGACTGGAATGCAGTAGCACGCTCTCAGCCACTGTAGCCTAGACCTGCTGGGCTCCGGCGATCCTTCCACCTCAGCCTTCCAAGTAGCCAGAATTACAGGCATGCGCTACCACGTCCGGCTGATTTTTTGATTTGTTGTAGAGATGAGGTCTAGCCAAGTTGCCTAGGTGGGTCTCAAACCCACAGGCTCAGGCAATTCACTCACCTCGGCCTCCCAAAGCACGGGATTACAAAGTGAGCCTCCGAGCCCGGCCTAGGCTAGCTTTATCAGACATGAACAAACTGGACTTAATAATGTGCTCTCAGAACAGAATTCATTCGTATGTAAGGGACTTACTGTAAATAAAATGATTGCAGATGGAGACAGGCATTAGGAAGGCAGTAAAAAGTGGAACAAGGCAGAGATTTTCAAACGCTTTGGAGTCCCTGAGAGCAGAAGGCTTAGCGTTGGCAAAGCTTGGGTCCTAACTTTTGCCGTGTTACTGAATTGAAATCCAGCCAGCCGAGGTGACCTCCCCACAGAGCCAGTCCCGTCCATATTAAGATTCTGCCTCTGTCTGGCTGGAGTTTAAGTCTCCACACTAGGTTATCAGCAGTCTCCCGTGTTTGCCTTCCCCTGCTGGTATCTGCAAAGTTGCAAGCTGCAATATCTTCCTAAAGACACAAATGGAATGAGATTAGTAGCTAAATCCTTAATGACTGGATTTCAGTGCTGTGTAATTGATTTTTGATACGCTGCACTGTAGAAGTTGATTATAAGTAGTAATCGTGCCTTTTCTCTGATAAATCAGTTATGCGTTTTGACTAAGTTTTCAAAATAAAAATAAATATGGCCCTAAAATAAAATGACTATAATCCCAATTCTGAATATTAAAAATCTTAATAATGGTACTTGCGGTAATTAGCAGAAGTTAGGCACGCAAGTCTTACAACTGAATTTCTGTCAGGGTTAGATTTGCTGGCATCATGTTTATGCAAATCAAAACACAGCTTTATCTATCAACACCTCAACATTTAATTGTCTGGTGTTAGTTCCTGTAACAACAATCACATATCCATTTAGCTCTCTTAAATGAAAATCACTATGAGATTATAACAGGTTGAGTGGACTGAAAATGTAATTCGAAAATGAGGGAGAAAGCTTGGAATTTATTTGCATCTCATTTATTTTAATTCAGTTCATAAACTGTTTAGTGAATGAAATAAAAGCAACTCCTAGAAACTGCAAGGGAGCAGTTGGAAGAAGGTGTAAGGGAAAGGCTGGGTGTGATGTGGATTAAGGGGACTAAGGTGTGGCTTTTCCCATCAGAGGTTTCGTGAGCCCATGCCAAGGAGTCTGCACCCCTAACCAATCTGTTGGTCCTCACAGGCAGGCAGGCTTCCTCGGCTACAATGTGGGTTTTTTCCTTCCTATCCCTAGTCTTGTGCCAAGTCTTTCTACTCTTGCTCAACTCTCAAATTCTCCATTCACTCAAAAGATATTTACTAAGTGCAACCCCATGACCAGCACCATCGAACAGGTGGACTATAAAGTCCGAGCCACCATGAGCTAACAGTCTCATAGAGAAGACAATGTCAGCAGTGTGATGTAAGCTGTCATCAAGGTCAATGTTGCAAGGAAAGGGACACTTAATTGGATCCGTCAGAAGAGAATAGGCTGTGGCCAGGTAGGTAATGAATTGACCCTGCAATCTCACCTAGCAGTCCCAATGTGTCAGGTGGCTCTTGTGAACGGTGCCACACTCCAGTTGCTCTGCATGGTGGTCCTCTCATCTTAAGCACGTGGCCTCCCCGGTGGCCACAGAAGGTGAAGAGAGCCTGGGTGATTCACAAGGACCGAATGAGCAAGCCTGGACATGGCAGGCATCACCTCCACTCACCCTGGCCAGAACACTGTCCGGGGACCTCAACCAAACTGCAAGAAAGCCTGGGAAATGTTGTCTTTGTGAGTGCCTCAGAAGAAGAAAATGAAAGAAGACTTGGTGAGCACATAGCAGAGTAACGGCTGCCCTGACCAGGTCTAAGGGTTGACAAGGTTCAGAAACAGTGTCACCAGAGAGTTGGAATCAGTCCTGAAGAATAGTAGGAATTAATCAGGCAGGAAAGAGGTGACGGGACAGGAGCATCACCTGGGGAAAGGCCATGAGGAGGCCGAGAAGGAATGGGAATTCAAAAAACTTTAAACAAGTGTGGCAGTAATTGATGTGTGATAGCGTGGGACAGAAAAAGAACATGTGACTAGGGACAGCATGTGGAAGAAACCATGAAGCCAGGCTAGTATTGACCCTGAGGGCAAGGAGGAGGTCTACCCGGGCTTCATTAGAGAGATGTGCTGGGATGAGTCACATTAGAAAGACCTCTCAGCTTCCTTGGGTGTGGCAGAAGACAGATTGGAAGAGGACAAGACTGGATGTAGTGGTTCACACCTGTAACCCCAGCACTTTGGGAGGCTAGAAGATTGCTTGAGCCCAGGAGTTCAAGACAAGCCTAGGTAACATAGCAAGACCTTGCCTCTACAAAAATTTTAAAAATTAGTCAAATGTGGTGGTGTGCACCTGTAGTACCAGCTACTTTGGAGGCTGAGGCAGAAGGATCACCAGAGCCCAGGAGGTCGAGGCTGCTGTGCCCGCGAGGATGCCACTGCAGTCTGCTTTGTGCAACAGAGTGAGGCCTCAACTCAAAAAAAAAAAAGTGAAAAAGAAGAAGAAAAAGACAAAATAGGAGGAGCGAGGAGAGAAACAGCAAGAAAAGTGTTGCATTGATCCAAACAAGAATTTAAATACTTAGCAGTGAAAGAGGAAAAAAGGTGGAGGGAGAGATTTGAGAGATATTTAGCACATGCCATTAAGAGAACCGGGCAGCCAGCAGGGTTGCTGTGTCAGGCT